CTTCATGATCAGTCAATTCTCCTCTAGGTCGTTTTGAAGGCTGGTTATCAAAAGGGGGTAATGGCCTTTTTTCCTTGTGGCCTTTTCTTTCTGATGAACCAAGCAGAAGAAAATGACAACAAAGATATGTTACAGGTCAAATTCTACAAAAATTCCGAAACAACTTAATTCCTTCCACTTTCAGTCTGAAATTGAATTGACTTCTCCTTTATAAGCTAAATTTCTAATAGTACTACTTGTATATAACTCATATACATAAGGTAAAGTCTGCGTACGAGCCAAGTGGCCCATCAGGCCGGAGCTTATCCCAGTTTCTGTAGCATGAAGCGACTAGGAGTATTTCTACTGCCCCCTGGATGGGATGCTAGTCCATCGCAGGGTTACCCCCAGCATTAAGTTCGCCGGTACCTGTTTATACACCTGGGTGGAGAGAGGCACTGTGAGAGTAAAGTGTCTTGCCCAAGAACATGAAACAATGTCCCCGGCCAGGGCTTGAACCCGCACCGCTCGATCTGGAGACAAGCGTACTAACCATGAGGCCACCGCGTCTCCCACTCATATACATAAAGGATAAGTCAATTCAGTAGACTACATGTATATTCATATCACCTGCTATATAAAACTACCTAAATGACATGTACAGTAGATGTAGGTATGAAGTAATTAACAATAATTTAATTTACTTAATTTTGTAATAATTATTGGTGCAATTGTGAAAAGAATACATGTCATAATAAAATTAATAGGAAATTAATTTTACCAAACACAAGGTTCTGCATGTAGACTTAATTGGCCACTCCCCATTGGGGCTTTTTGGAACCAATGTAAACAAACAATGAGAAATAAATATTCAAATAAACAAAACTAGGTTAAGAATCCCCACTGGTGGGAGGCAGATCAGTTGGCTATTTACAAGTGCAGCCGAGAAGTTGAACTTGGGGGTACCGAGAACAACATCAGCTAGTGGTCAGATCCGGATTTTAACCCGGAACTTATGGATTTCAAATCTGGTGCAAAACAGTGTTAGTCCTTTGAAGACATCACAGGCAAACTCATCCCATTCTTTGCTATTCCTCCATTGTGGCCATGGAAAAGGCCAATTTTACAGACTTTGAAAATTCATAGAAAATTAATGAAAATAGCTATAATGATAATTTTTCACGGTGGTGATCACAAAAACATAGAGATTTATATAAGTGAAAAAACACTTGAGGGGTTAGTTGTACCTTAAGGTTGCTTACTGAGGTGAAATCAACATTTTGCCGTTTTTTAAAGTGAAGACAAAATGAGTGTTTTCAAATCTGAAGTGAGACAGACTTCTTTTCTTTGTTGTACAACAGGAATTTGTTTTGAGCTTTTTTCTAACAATATCAGGGCGAAAATGCAAGATGTAACGTAAAGTTCAATGTAAGGCGGTTATGCCATCAGCCCTTCAATTAAAACCTATGCCAGGACAATCATAGCAAAGAAATTACCAAGTGACAGATAATCATTTTTTAAACCATTTTTCTAGTTTCCTGGCTGGTAAATTAATGTCTGTGCCTTTTCCTCAAAAGAAATGTCAGAACTTCTACATGTACTTTCCAACCACACTCTTTTTTGTGAAGTCCAGTGAGATAATGTCCTAGAATAGTGTTCTAAGGCTTTTATAGAGAGACTGTCTCAAATGCGCAGCAAAAGACCTTGATGTTGTAATTGCACAATTCATGACTCAATTATGACAATGCCTTCACTTAAAAAAAAAATGATATAAACTAATAACATACTTTCCTATAGCACAGCATGTTGCACCAAGCCTCACCTTGTTTGGGTCTGAGACTGACGTAGTGTACCTCATGAAT